GTCCAATTTCCACAAAAGGGCTATGGAACATACACACTATGGAACACACTAAACAGATAAATACAGTCAAGTGAAAAACTTATAAGCAAATACTGGCATATACATGGTTGTCAAGTACTTGTATAAGTATACTATAGTATTACTGAGTAATAAATCAAGAAATTAGACTTCAGGGGCTGAAGAAATGGCTTGGTGGTTAAAAGTGCATACTGCTCTTGCAGAGGACCTGAGTTCAATTCCCAACAGCCATGTTGGGCAGCTCACAAGCAGTTGTACCTCCAGTTCCAGGGAATCTAACTTCTTCTGGCCTCCCTGAGCACCTGTATGTACACGTATGTACGCATGTACACACATATGTACACCATTAGAAATAAATCTAAAACAAAAAGGGCTCTCAGGGCTGGAGACACAGGCCCAGCGCTAAGAGCACAAGAGAACTGGATTTCACCATGATGCTGTCCTCCCTCATCACGAGTACTGTTAGGATACCTAAGGATGCTGGGCAGTGGTGGCACACGCCTTTAATTGGGAGGCAGAGGCAGGTGGATCTCTGCGAGTTCGAGGCCAGCCTACAAAGCGAGTTCCAGGAAAGGCTCCAAAGCTACACAGACAAACCCTGTCTCGAGAAGCCAAAAACAAAACAAAAAAAAAAGATACCTAAGGCCACTGAACAGCTCAGGAGCCGTATGGTTTTCTTGTGTCTCTCCTGTAGTGTCTCCTCTTCCTCTACTTCCAAGTGCAATGTCCCCCTCTGCAGCTCCTACAACATGCTGTAGTTGATTCTTAAGGCATTCAACACTTGATGTGTGGTAAAATCATGTATCTACTTGCCTTTCCTGACAAGAATGTTAAGTTTGTAGTGACAAAGACTGTTCATCAGCCCAGAGCTATTTAAGCAGGTGGTCAATTAAACGGGTGTTGACTCAATTCACTCTCAGAATTCAAGTCCCAATCCTTTTTTTAAAGATGTATTTATTTTAGCCAGGCGGTGGTGATGTACATAATCCCAGCACTCGAGAGGCAGAGGCAGAAGCAGAGGCAGGCAAATCTTTGGAGGCCAGTCTGGTCTATATAGAGTGAGTTCCAGGACAGCCAGAGCTACGTCTTGAAAAACAAACAAATGAAACAAAACAAAAAAGATGTAAAAAGATGTATTTTTTTTTCCTGCATGTCTGCCTATGCACCACTTTTGTGCCTGGTGCCCACTAGACTGGAAGAGGACATCGGATCACCTGGAACTGGTATTACAGATGGTCATGAGCCACCACAGTGCTAAGAATTCAACAACCCTGGGGCCTCTAGAAGAGCAGCCAGTGCTCTTAACCACCAAACCATCTCTCCAGCGCCCCCACTCCCACCCCCAATCTTTTTTTTCAAAGCCAAAACTGATAGCTCCTCAAAATAAATAACACAATTACTACAATTCCACCTCTGGATAATGATCCAAGGACTAAAAGCAAGAACTTGAACAATATTTGAACATCACATTCCCAGAGAATTATTCACAAAAGCCACAAGACAGGGTGGAGAGATGGCTCGGTTGTTAAACACACTAACTGTTCTTCCAGAGGACCAGGGTTCAGTTCCCAGCACCTACATAAAAGGTTCACAATAGTCTGTAACTCTAGTTCCAAAGAATTCTGATGGTCTCTTCTAGCCTTTTTAGGCACCAGGGATGCAATATATACAATTTAGGCAAAACATACACAGAAAAATGAAAGACTATAAATAAATAAACCCACAAGGTAGAAAAAACATGTCAACTGAAAGAATAACTGTGGTATGCACATATACAAGAGAACAGTACTGAGCCTTAAACAGGAGAGAGATTCTGACAAATACTCCACCACCAATGAACTGGGAGGACAGAACTAGGAAAGAAAGCCAATCACAAGAGATAAAAGAGTATGCAGGCATGGTGGCATAGGCCTTGAACTCCAGCACTCAAGAGGCAGGAGCAGGTAAGAGTTCCAAGTCAGCCAGGGATATGTGAGACCCTGTCTCAAAAAATAAAATAAAAGTTAAGGGGTAGGGACCAGAGTTTGGTTCCTACCAACATTATCAAGCAGTTCATAACTATCTTAACCACAGCTCCAGGGGAACTGGTGTCTCTGGTCTCCAAAGGTACCTGCATCCACATGTACACTTAAAACAATAAAAATTTATGTTAAAAAAGACTGTTCCATGTGTATAAAGTTTCAACGGTGGAAGATGAGTAAGTTCTGAAGGTCGATGGTGGTGAAGGCTGCACAAGGCTGTCGATGTGCTTAATGCCACTGAATGGAACTAAAAAGACCAAAAGTTTAAATACAGTAAACCTTATGTCCTGTACACTTTAGAATTCATTTTCGGTCTTACTATGTATTTATATTGGTGTGGGGGAGTATGTGGATACCAGGTGGGGTGGGATTGGGTGGTGTGTATGTGTGTGTGTCCGAGGCCTACTTACAGGAGTTTTCTCCTTCTACCACATCAATCTTAGAGATTAAACTCAAGGCTATCAGACTTGACAACAACTGTTTTTACCTGCTGAGCCAACTTGCTGGCCCACAATTTGTTTCTTAATGAGTTAGGATCTCTCTCATGTAGACCAGGCTGGCCTCAAACTCACTATGTAGTTGAAACTGACCTTCAACTTACCTCCCAACTACAAGAATTGCAGGCTTGTCCCTTGTCCCTATACTTGGTCTCATAAAGTTGTGGAGGCTGAACCTAGGGATACAGGCACATGAAGCAAGCACACTACAAACAGAGCTCACATCCCTGTCACACACAACTACAATTTTTAAGTACACACTCTTGTGATTAAAATACACACACACACACACACACACACACCATACTAGATCATTAAGCCAAAGGCAGCTTTCCACAGTTGAGGGGCCTGGAGTCCGGCTACCTGGATTCAGACCCTGTCCTGACCACTGGTGTCGTCTAAGCCTCTCTGTGCTACTCTCTCCTCGGTCACTCATTCTGTGTTTTTGAGGCAGGATCTTCTGTAGCCCAGGCTGATTTAAATCCCCTAAGTAGCCAAGGACTGCCTTGAACATCTGATTTGCCTGCCTCTTGTAGGCAAATCCCAAGTGCTGGGATTACAGGTACTGTAATCTTTCCTGGCTCATACTTCACTTAAAAAAATTACTGCACATGTATATGATGTGTAAGTGTGGACTCGTGCACAAGTCAAAGGACAGCCTTGTGTCACTGGTTTTCTCTGCCCACCTTTATGTGGGATTCCAGGGATAAAGCTCAGGTCTTAAGCCCTAGGAGCAGCTGCTGTAACCTACCTGCTGTGCCACCCTGCTGCCCCCCGTGTATTTTTTATTTTATGTGTGCACATGGAAGCCAGAGGTCAACCTCAGCTATCACTCCCGGAAGTCCATCTTGGTTCTTGAAACAGCTTCCTTTACTGACTTGGGGTTGGCCCAAGTAGGCTAGTCCCAAGGATTCCCCTACAATCTACTACTCCTCCAGTGTTAGGAGTTCAAGCCCAGGCTACCACACACTTACACTTCTAAGGCTAGTTTTTCAAGTATGTTCCAGAAATAGAACAAGCCCTCTGCTTGCGTGGCATCACATTGCCCCGGACCCACGCCTTGTTTTCTTTGAAATATTTTATTATTGTTGGGAAGGTGACACTGATGTCAGAGGACACCTTTTAGCGGTCAGTTCTCTCCTTCCACAGTGGGTTCCTGGGATCTAATTCAGTCTTAAGAGTTTGCATGGCAAGTGTCTTTACCAACTGAAGCAACCTCATCTGACAGCTTCACTTTTAAAACATGCATTTCAAGCCAAAGATGTAATCCTAGCTGGGGCAAAGAAAAGAAAAATCACTGTGAGTTCTAAGCAGCCTGGGCAACAGTGAGTCTAAATAGCCCATTTCACCATTCCACAATTCAAAGCTGCCATTAAACTACATGTGTGTACACCACTCACACAGACATATACATACATTTACACACCTACACACACACACACACCCCTAAACACATTAGCAAATGTACAGTGCCTGGGGCAGAATCAGAGTTCAATAAATGTAAACCCTTATTACAAGACAGAAGAAGCCATTGTTTGAAAATACATGTACTATCATTTTCTTATTTTATTTAACAAACTTTTATAGCTGGGGGGATTATCTGAAACTGGAAAGCAATATACTAGATTACTTAAGGTCATGAACACAACCTCTAAGTAAAATTTTTACACGAAAGCTTTCACAGATAGCTTTTCAGTATACTGGCTGCACTGTACAAAAAGGACTTTGTTTGCCAGAAATCTTGTCGAATACCCATCTTGATTCTTAAAAAAGAAAAAACTTCTTTAGGTGAACTACTTAAGGCTTGAATTTTAAAAATGCTGTTTTATTTTTAGATATATTTTTATTATTAATTATATGTAAGGATGTGGGGAATATGTGCACCTGTATCCAGGTGCCCACAAAGGCCCTGGAGTTCCCGTTACAGGTTGACATGGGTGCTGAAAAATGGAACTCAAGTTAAGTATTCTCTACCTTCTTAAGTTTACACAGCTGTAAAACATCCAGGTTCTTATTGTCTGGCCTCCACATCAATTCTTTTACTACTGCTGTTACTTCTTTAGCTGAAAAGCGAAGACTTGAACTCATTACGTACTGCACAGAGCATGGTTTTCAGCCTCCACGACAAATCTAGAATTTAACTTCAGTTATGACTAAACAGACTATGGGTTGGGGAGATGGCTCAGCACAGAGGACCTGAGTTGGGTTCCCAGACCCTTGTCAGGTGGCTCACAACCACCTGTTAACTCCAGCTGTAGAGGATCTGACACCCTACTCTGACCCTTGCAGGTGCAAGCACTTGTACACACACACACTTCAAATCTTTTTTAAAAAGTGGCTTAAACATGCTCATTCAGACACCAATGCATAAATAAGGATTCAATGTTTACTTTTCATGAAAAGTTATTTCTCTAAGATGGAACAACATCCGATTTAGCATGGTTACCTATGCACTAAATCCACGATGGCCAAAGTAACTCTCCAGCACAGGCTGGTAATGCTATGCTACACAGGTTTCATCCAGGAGTTCAACCTACTTTGTATCTAAAAAGGGTAGCATTAAGCTTATGGACTAACCATTACATAAAATCAAAAGAATACTAAATTCTAATTTACTGTGAAGCTAAGCTTATGTAACAAAACCTTCTTTATCAGTCAAGAAATCAGAATATTTTACTGATATTCTTCCACGTCAGACAGGGATACAGAATGTAAACTCGAAAAGAAAAAAGAAACAGGCCTGGGAGATAGCCTAGTGGTGGAGCAATGCTAATGTGACTTAGATAAACTACAACATGCACAAGCACTTTTTAAAGTCACCTTTGTCAAAGACCAGTTTTGAGATTAAAATGTAAAGTCAATCCTTTCTGTAAAAATAAAATCTCAGTTTTGCGAGCAGCTCAAAGGGTAGAACTGGGTTTAAAGTCCTAAGGCACCAAAACCGGTCGTAAATTTTAGCTATGTACCCACTACCCTTCTGATGCGAAGCTGCGCCTTGTGAAGCCACAGTAGCTGAACATCAAGAGAACTCCAAGGAAGGTTGGCGCCCTCCACATTTCCAGCCCCTGATGACTCTGCCCCTCCCCCACCAGCCACTGCCGCGGAAGCACGGGCACAGCACCAGCCGCACCCCACCGCAGGCACTCCTGAGAGGACGCCGAGCATCTCCTCCCAATAATTACTACTAAGAGTAGCAGCTGACCACGCTTCCACTCTTAGCTGTGACGGCACCATCCACGATGCTAGGAGCAAAGGAGGCAAGACTACAGCTCCGAGCCCCGGTGTCCTAGGCAGAATGGATGGAGGAGCCACAGCATAAAGTACACCTCCACCGCTCCCCTTCGGCGAGGGCCCCTCCCACCCACAGGGACGCAGGGAGGGGCAGACACCGAGCCCCAACTCCCGGCCCGACGCGACAGCGGGCTTTCCCCAGCGCCGCTTCACTGCCAAGGAGGCGGAAACCCCGGCGGGGGCGGGGCGGGAGGGGCGTGGCATCGCAGCCCCGAACGCGCCTTCCGGCCAACCGGATCCCACGAAGGCGGGGGAACCCGGGCTTCACGCCCCCTCGCCGCCGCGCCCTGAAAGCCGCACGCGGGAGACCCCCCTTCCTGTCCCGCACACCCCGCGGGCCCGAAGCAAGGCAGCCCCAAGGCCCCACCCACACAGAGGGGAGGGGCGGGGCCGCAGCCGCGGGTATTTAGCGCGAGCCCGTCCCGCCCCTTTCTCCACCACCGCACGCGCGCCGGCCCCGCCTCTGATCGGCGGGACGAGGGCCCGCCCCTCCGTGCGCACCGGGACTACGCTCTCCTCCCCCTCCCGCACGGAGTGCGGCCCCGCTCCGCCCCCCACAGCCACGCACGGGAAGCCGAGGTCAGCCCCCCCGAAAAACACACGCCCTCCAGTCCCAGGTTACCCGCCACCCAGCTGCCGGCCGGACCGCGGACGCGGCGTGCTCTCACCGCAAAAGCTCCAGCCGCTCAGCCTGCGCGTCGCTCCCGGCGTGAGCCTCGCACCCAGCACGGAGGCCCCGGAACGGCGCGGGCACAGGCCCGCAAGAGCGGACTGGCAACCTCCTTTGCGCTCACGAAGCGGTCACAGGCCTGAGTGCCCAGACTGGGAAGGAGGGAGGGAGGGAGGGAAACTCCAAGGGGGGAAGGGGAGGGGGGAAGATGGAGAAACCGTCTCTGCCGCCTCTACCGCCGCGGCCGCTTCTCTGTTACCCGGGAAATCCCGCCCACTCTCCCAGCCCGCCCCGCCGAGGGAAGGCTTAACCTCGCTCCGCCACGGGGTATATTAGCGATCCGTCAAAGGCCGAGCCAATCACCGTGCCGCACAGACCCTACTCCCGCCTCCTCCCCTCGCTGGGAGGGGAGGGCGAGCCGCTCACCTTCTCCACGCCCCTATTGGCGGGGAGCGTCCCTAACTCAACCCCGCCTATTGGAGACTGATTGCCGAAGCCCTCCCCCAGGCTGCAATGTTATTGGAGGGCGGAAAGCACCTCGTCACACCTCATTGGAGAGTCCCGCATATCCCTCCCCACGGCCGCCCCAGCCACAGGCCTAACAAATCGGCTCCCGCCTCCGCCGGTCACCGCATTGGAAGGCTACCTTTGGTTCTCTCGCAGCCCCAGGAAGGTAAGTAACCAATGTGGGGTAAAAATGTCCGTAAGTGAGGCAGACTCCACCCACCACACTGCCGGGCCAGGCCCCGCCCCCAGCAATCTGATTGGATTATCTTGGCGCCGGTAGGAGCCGCCATTGGACACGGCGCCGGTCCAGGAAGGAGCCCATTCCGCCCTGCGCGAGGATGCTGAACCTTAGCAGTCCTTTTGTGGAATGTTTACACTAGAGACCGAAGCTCAGAGTTCCAAGGCCCGAACTGGAGATGGCGCGGAGCTCAGCGGTCGAAAGCCGAGGCTTTAGGGATTTGAAGGGGAGAAAGACAGTAGTATTTCCACCCTGGAGGACTCACCAAAACAATGACAGAGAGCCTTAGCCTTCCTACCCACTTATTTTTACACTCTTCACTCTCCTAAATACAGCCATCTGGACTATTCAGCAGCTACTTTCAGCAGTAGGCTCCCAAATTAAGGTCTGGAGCTCTAAACGGATGCACAAGCCCAGAGATGACAAGCCAGTCGCGAGGGATGGCTGCATACTGTGACACTCCGACAACCTGAATGTGCAGCCCTCAGGGGGCGGAGACAGCCAAGCGGAGGCCTTTAAATGTCACCGCCTGGGCAAGCCTCCGGAAGGCGGAGCATGAGGTAAAATGTAGTCCCTATTGGCAGGACCGATCCAGAGACATTTTAGGCCAGGGGAACTGAGATGCAGAAAAGCTCAAACAGACCACGGTATAAATAAACCTTGAGGGTGCATTCATATTCAGAGGATGAGTAAAAATTCCAGTGTGTGTGTGTGTGAGGGGGTGCTCTCGAGAATAGCTGTTCAAAGGAAAGAGACTGCAATTCCAACTATTCGGAAGAACGAGGCTGTAATATTGCTTGAATTTAAGAACTCTAGACCAGCCTTTAAAAAAAAATGGAGGCCCCCATAGCCTCCTTGTCAGAGTGCATTAACGGCTGTCTCAAAGCCCTCTGGGTAGGTAACAATGCCTTAAGCACACAAAGTGCCTTGAGATACCTGGTTCCTTTTATTTATTCACCAATAAGGCGTGGGCCCAAAGCCAACGTTACTTTGGGGGTGCTTTCGCTGCGCCATGGGGGACAGTTAGGCGGGACCAGTCTTCCAGGGCTCTACTGTTAAACAAAACTAAACAAAAAACCCAACACCTTCTCGAGACCTAGACTTAAGTGTGTCCCCAAGAGATACCGCATGGGGAAACGTTTCGTAAACCCGACGCTGCCCTCCTGTAATCATGAGGAGACTGCCATAAATAAGTGTTGGCAACAGGTGGGTCTGACTCCTAGGATGGCTCCACGCCGCGAGGCCATAGTAGTGAGTTGTGAACTACAAGAGTGGCCGACAGGTGGGAGCAGTCACACCGGTAACCAAGCCAACTCCTGGCCCAGGACAGTGCTCTAAAAATAAGAAAAACACGAGCCAAACCGTCCAGAGGTTGAGAAAGCAGCACCCCAGAATTGACAGATTCCTACCTTGAAATGGACCACCTTACTCACTAGACTGGGTACCTACCATACAGCACCCACACCAAGGGATCAGCAACAGCCCCCCCCCCCGAATCCTTGCTAGAAATAGGCCTCCTGGACTCCCCTTGACCGCAAGAAACCGAGTATAGTAGATATTGCCTAAGGTTCCATCAATGGGCTACGATCATCAGATTCCGCCGACTCAGGACCACGACTGTCTTGCCCAGGGAATTAAGGATGCGGCCAATGTTCAAGCTTTCTCAAACTTAAATTTAAGGAAGTCAAGGGGTACGGAGAAAAACAGCAACGGTCGACCCGAACTCATTCCCTCCCCTCAATGCGGCAAACCCGGAGCCACGCTTCCCACAGCAACAGCGCAATTGTAAGGCTTCATCTCGAGGGCTACCAGATCTCTAGACTGGGAAGAATCTTTGTGTGCCTCCAAGGCTTTCCCCGCCCCCCTGACTAAGGGCGCGGAGCCTGAGACTTCCGGGCGGGAGGGAAGTTGCAGGGAGCTAGGCGGGCCGCAAACATGTGCCCAGCGCGCTCACGAGAAGGGGGGGCAGGGAGCAGGAGGACGTCCCCTCCCAGTTTGTCCTAGAAGGGGAAGGCCTAGCCAATCCACCAATCAGAAGCAGGGGCGGGGGTTTGCACCTCTCATAAGCCCCAGGAATCCTCCCTCCGCCCTTCGAAAGAAAAAAAATCTTAGCAACTTAAACTCCAGTCCAGCCTCCCGATAGGCGGAGCTCTAGAGAATGCCATCCAATCCGTACACAAGAAGGGAAAAAGGGACTGGCATCCAACCAGTGGAAGACAAGAGAAGGCGGGGCCTCTGGAGAGCCAGAAGTGGGTGGAAGAGGAAATGGCCCCGCCCCTCTCGGGTCCCCTCTCGGCCGGTTGCACAAGCTCCCCGCAGGAGATAGTAAACAGTCTGGGTCAGGCAGTAGAGGCAGAGGTGGCCGCTCACTCTGAGGACTGTCTCTGAGGCTCCCTCCCCTTGCTACACCGCCACTGCCCGCACTTTGCGCCGGCGCCCCGCCTCTCGGTCCGCAGCCGCCATCCGGCTGACAGGCGCGCCCCTCCCCGCCCGCTGATGCATTTCCTTTTCCCTATTCCAAGCGTGGAGTCTGTTTTCCCAGTTTCCGACCTTCACTGCCCCTTTCAGGCCACCCCCTCGTGAGCGCGCGCGCGCGCACGGCTGCCCCCACCCCGTACGCGGCCCTGTGGCACGCAGCCCTGTGGCACGCAGCGGCACCTCGCGGAAAGAGGGAGCCCAGGCAGCGCACTACGCGGGGAGGGGGAGCAGTCGCCGCCACCGTGAGGTGGGCGGGGAAGGAGGCAGCTCCATGTTTGCAAGAGGATCAGCTGGGGCCGCGAATCGAATCCGCCGAGTTCCTGGTGCTTTTCGACACTCAGCCAGAGCTCCCTGCCGGATCGCAGCCTATCCGGCTCTGGTGGCGAATACTTGCTAGATTGCCACGGTTCAGGAGTTCAGAGACACCGGCAGTTCCCCGGGTTAGTGGCCAGAACCTCTCCCGCCCCCAGTCTCCTCCCGCAAATACAGCATTGCTCCCGCCCCCAGAGTCCTTAACAACCGCGGGCCCATGGTGCCCGCGCCTCCCTAGAGCTCGCCCACCGACCCCTCCAAGTTTGCCGACAGAAACAAACCCTCGGGGCGGCTGCTGCATTCACCCAGCGTGGTTAGCGCAGAAAGACAGCCGGCCCCGGCTTGCTCTAAACTCCAGGGGTCGACCAACTCCGGACACCGTGAGCTCGGTGGGCCTGACCCACCAGGCTGCGGCCGCCGCCCCCTGCCGAGCCCGCGCGCCGCAGCCCGGGCCCTGTTCCATTCGCCGTTCAGAAATCCCCTTTTTTCTTCTTCATGAGATTTTTCTTTTAAAATATTTTGAAAGCATTACAAGAGCAGTTGGTCTCCTGTCGGCCCATTCACCAATGCTCTGCCGAGCCCTACCGAAACCGACTGTTTGGTGAAATGAACTGAGCGGCGCGGCCGGCGGAAGGGCGACCCCAGGCCAAGCCGACCCCCTCCCCACGGCTCCAGTCCGGCTTGGAAACACACTATGAGCGGGCGGCGCCAAGCGCTCTTCTTCCTGGCCTGCCCCTAGCCTACCTCGGCCGCCGGACTCCGAGCCTCCCCGCAGCACGGTCTTGGGGACCGCGGCACCCACACAGCCTTAGGCCAGCCAAAGCAAGCAGCCACGGAACTAGCCCCCCAAAAGAACGAAATTGGGGAGACCAAATTAAAAGCAGCTGTTTAACATACCTTCGGAACCAGGCGAGGAGTCCTGAATGGGAGGGAACGCCCCCCACTAGCCATTGGCTCTCTAGCGCACACGTCAGCACTCTGGGTACGCCTACTCCCCCTCCCGCCCCTTCCCCTTCATTGATCGCCCCCTGCCTCTACCAAAATAAAATTAAGTAAATCAAACTAGCCACGAGTTGGAGTCGCATCCAAAGTATAGGCTCTTATATCTCCCACACTGCCACTTGGAATTTTTCGAGGACTTCAGACTAGGCCTTTTGGGATTCGGAGTTCCGCAGCGTGGAAGCTAAAGGAGGTGCATCGTAACTACCCGGTCCCAATTTCCTTCACGCACACAATCCATTTGGAGCTGGGTCAGGTGAAACGTGTAGCAGTCTGTGATCCTACCACCTGGACGCGTCATATCTCAGAAGCGAAGCAGGGTCTGGCCTGGTTAGTACTTGGATAAGCGGCAGGCAGCTACTGGCTGCAACATCTAGACTTTCCTGAATTAACCTTGTGTCCAGCCTACATTGTTAGATGCCTCTTAGCTGTGAAATCTGAAAGCCGGGAAAACTGGCACTTCTCTGAGTATCTACCGGGGGGTGAATCAGACATTTCACTGTATCTGCTACAGAGTGCAATTGTGAACTGGCTGAGATGTTCACAATACCCTCCGAGCACTTGAGATCCAGACAGTTGCTGCAGGAGGTAAGGCAAGGGGCGTGTATGGGTGTGTAGATCCACAGTCACTCCAACATGGGAAATTCCGTTTAGCTAGCAGCTGAACAGATTCTGAGAGCAGGCTGAACAAAAAGGGTGCCAGCAGGCAACAAGGTAAGCACAGAGGCTGGACTGTGTGTTTACAGGCTTCAGAGGTGTATCTTGGGGTGAGGAATAGATTGGGGCGAGCAAAGGCGAATTATCCTCCTCCAGCTGGGCTTTAATCCCAGCACTCCGGAGGCAGGGGCAGGCGGATTTCTGTGAGTTCCAGGCCATCCTGGTCTACAAGGTGAGTTCCAGGCCAGGCACCAAAGCTACACAGAGAAACCCTGTCTTACAAAACCAAAAAAAAAAAAAAAAAAAAAAAAAAAAAAAAAAAATCCTCCTACTTACTACCCACCCAATTCAGAAAACTCTCCCCAGTTGAAGCTCCTTACCTGCCTCATTTGCTATTTATCATTAACTATTTGCTCAAGAGCTGAGCAGAGCCATGGCACAAGTGTGAGCAAGAAACTAATTTTGGCTGCGCAGTGGTGCAG